CGGGACAACTCGGACCGACTGCGCGCTGCGGAGCGGCCGCCAGATTGTACTGTGGCCAGCGACGCAACTTGCATGCGCCCCGCCGCGTCGCTGGCAGCGGCAGACCGGCAATCAGAGTTTTTCAAGATGGTGGACGCTTGGAAAGCAGACTCTCACTTTCATCGACACAAGTCCCCGCAGCCAGCACCCGATGCACTTGAGAGACGACTTCGCGCTGCAATGGCTACCGGCGACGCGTCGACGTTCCCCCCTGTACCTCCGCGCACGAGGACGGCAGTGGTCGACGCGTGCCTACACCTTCTGCATAATGGAGTCTTGGATGTAGTGGACATGGAGCGCGTGAACGTCAAACAGGCCCGCGCTTTGCTCTGGAACGCGGCATGGCTACAAGATGTCATGAACCGCAGGTGGGGCTTCGATGAGCCCACGGGCCCAACGGCAACTGGACGCCCTTCACTCGCCGATGGTTTTCAGTTGGCTCTTATGGGTCCAGGCGGTACTGGGAAGACGGCGGTGCTGAGAGTCGTGGAAGCGGTGATCTGCTACTTCAACGGACCCGACACGGTTCAGAAGTGCGCGCCGTCGAACTCCGCCGCGAGGCTTCTCAAGGGTGACACGCTGCACGCTCTCTGCAAGCTGCCGTTCGGCAACGTCACCGTGACGGGCAAGAAGGGCCGCTTGACCCGATCTGTCTTAGAACAGCATCGAGATCGATGGGAGTGTGCTCTCGCGTGCTTCATCGACGAGGTGTCCATGGTTGCTGCGGCGCAACTCTTCCAGTCGGAGGTCCGATTGAAAGCCGCGAAGAATTCCGCTCAGGCATGGGGCGGCTTGGGAATGACGTTGTCCGGAGACTTCATGCAGCTCCCGCCAGTAGACCCGACGGGGGACAGCAGGAGCCTCGCCACAGACCCAGACGAAGTCGACGTCCTCAATGAAAAAGGCCCAGACGCCACAACGAAGGACGCAGACAAGAAGAGGTCCAAGCACGTGGAAACAGTGCAGGGGCTTCAACTCTGGCGGAGAGTGCGACGGGTTGCGACGCTAGACATTAACGTCCGGGCCCCTGGCCCTCTCAGTCAGCTGCTTGGAGAGATGCGTGCTGGCCACATTTCTGACGAGATGTGGGCCTTATACACCAATCGCATTCTGTCTTCCAACGACACTCGACCGCTGGACCCGGCGTCTCCATTTGCAATGCACCCGTGGACGTACATCGTGCACAGACACAAGATTCGAGCTTATCGGTCCATGCAAAATGCGCGACAGCAGGCTTTGCGCACGGGGCAGCGCGTGTACGTCGTCCAAGCCCGGGACGAGCCAGTTCACCCAGGGGACTCTCGGAAAATGACAAGCGACGTCCGCTGGGCACTCCTTCAGAAAGTAAGCCCGAAAGACACGCAGGACCTGCCCAGCTTGCTGCCCCTCTACGTCGGCATGCGCCTGACCATGTACTCGAAGGATTGCGTGCGATTGGGACTGATGAAGGGCTGCGTGTGCACGCTTCGACATATCGTCTTCGCCGACGGCGAGAGTTTCCCCGCGGACTCCCTGGACGACAATGTTGTGCACCTGCAGTACATGCCGATCACGTTATGGTTGCAAGCGGACGGCGCTGAGTGGACGCTTCCAGCGTCAGACTTGCCCGCAGACTTGCCAACGTGCACTGACAGACAGGGGCTCTTCCAGATGCGGCCCACCTACGGATACCTCCGCGCCACGTGGGAAGAGGAGAACTTTTCTGTCCGCCGGACAACGTACCGGTTACTTCCAGCGGATACCATTATAGTGCACGGCGCCCAAGGATCTGCACCCTCGGAATGGGGACGGAACTTTGGCCACAATGCCGAACAGTAATGCCTGCTCACGCAAAACAATAGTTGCTGTGCGCTGGGGCCCACCGGACACCACTCTTTGTCGTTCGGACAACAGTTGCCGTCCTTCTGACAGAAGTTCTAGTCCGGCGAACCACTGCCGCCGCAATCCTCTAGCCCGCGTGCAAAGGCACTGTTGTTCGGCATTGTACCCAAAGAACCGTCCCCCACTACGGGCGTGCAACAAGGTGGCACGTGCCCAGCAGTGGTGGCCGACATGAAAAAGCCACCGTCGATGGACGCCGACACGCACTGGCTCGCTTGCTACGTCATGCTGTCGCGGCCCGTCTCCGTGGAAGGCTTACTCATCTTGCGCCCAGCCACGAGGCGGGAATTGTCCCGACCGCCTCCGAAATTCATCCTCGACGAAATTACCCGCCTTGCTGACATGGAGACGGCGTCGCTGGACGAATTGATTCAGATCCTGCAAGATCTGAAGGGGGAACCGTTCCCGCCTGAGATCTTGGATTCAGTTCTTGCTCAGGACGGCGCCGCCCGGCAGTCCGCCGAGGTAGCCGAATATCGGAGAGCCGGGCCAGCGCTCCGCACAGTTTCTCGGCGCACGCGCGGCAAAACGACGCCACCTGCGCCCCTGTCGAGAGTTGGAGACACGGCGGGCGTGGGCGAGGATGCTGCAGCGCAGGCGACGCCACCGTCCTCGGCGCCCCCGCTGAAGAAGCCGCGGCTGCCAAACATGGAGACGGCGCGCGCGTCGACGCCGCCCACGGTGAACGCCTCCGAGTCGGAAAGAGCAATCTGCGCGGCCGTTGGCCGCCAGTGCGCCGCCGGCGCGGGCGCGGCCCCCGCGGGGAGCACGGGCCCGCAGCCGCCCCAAGCGGCACAGCGCACCGCTGCAGCGCAGCGGAGGACGGCCCCGCTGGGAGAGCAGAGCGCCACAGCGTGCAAGCCAGACGCACACGCGGCAAGCAGCCCAAACAGTGCCGCTAACGCGAGGGAAGGTGCCGCAGATAACGACGACAACGGGAAGCGCAAGGCTGCCAGGCATTCATCCCCCCCGCGAGCGCCCTGCTCCGAGTGCGGAGAGGCTGGATGCACGCCACATTCCCCCACGTGCGCCATTTTCTTGATCGCGCCACAGTGCGAGGCTACCTCCACTTTGCCGTGGGCTCGCGGGACCCCGTGTCCGGTATCGACGAACTTGCGCAACTACTGCGCGAAGTTCACGCGGCACGTAGCCACGGGACCCTTCGAAGTGGAAAGTGTGGAATACGGAGCTGGCGGAGATTGCCTCTACCACAGTGTCGCGGGCGTCCTCGCTCGCATGGTGCTCCACGGAGGTGGGCCGGCGCGACACATTTTAAAGAGCATCCCATCCGCAGTGTTCTTCCAGGGCTCCAACGCCACAATGCAGCACTTGCGGGCCATCTCCGCCTCGATATACAGCCAGTGGGCCCCCGAGCAGGTGCTCGACTTCGCGGTCGCTGCAGCCATGCAACAGCGCAGCAACGCCCATCTCGACGAGTGGGACCCTGCAGCGTTGCTGTCCGACTTCTGCTTCGAATGCCTTTTGCACGCTGAAAGCGTCCTGGCGTTTGAAGAGCAAGATGATGGCGACGCGCTCGTTCGCATCGCGTACACCCAGGCGCACTCTGGAGCAGGCGCCAGAGAAGAGCGCATTACGAGAATACCTGGCGGAGTCGCCAACCTAGCCCAGGTTCGAGCCAGACTCTCCCACTTCATGCGTCAGCCAGGCAACGTTCATTGGGGTACTCAAACTGACGTGCGCAGTCTAAGCGACCGCTTGGATGTGGGAATCTTACTCTTTCAGGATCGCCTACGTGAACGTGCCCGCACCTGCCTCTACAATGTGGGCGGCCAGCGAGCAGATTACCCATACTGGATCGCTTTATGGTGGGAGGAGCCGATCCATTTCCGTGGCGCGCAGCTGCGCCCACGCCCCCCAGAGTCAGACGCGCACAACAGCAACCGCCCGGACGCAACGTCCTTTTGGTCTACTGCCGATCTTCCAGCATTCCTTCGACAAGAATTCGCCGAGTGCAATCGTCTGGCGGATTGACTGACCTGATGCGGGCGGATTGACTGACCTGATGCGGGCGGATTGACTGACCCAATGCCCAGTCCATGTTTCACACCAGGCTGCTGCGACTTGCGTATCGTTCGATATGCGCCAGAGAAAGACCCCAAGAAGCTTCGAAAAAACTAAAAAAAAACACCCAGATGGCCCCAGAACGGCCCCCAAGAGTCCCAAAAGAACCCCAAGAGGCTCCAAAACGACCTCCACGAGGTTTGTGTTATCTCGAAGGGGCATACAAACAACATCTCCCGTCTTGGACTTCTCTTGGGGTCCTCTTGGGCCATCTTGGACCGATTTGAGCCGTCTTACGGCTCTCTCGAGCAACGACGGTCCACGTGCGACGACGACGACGACGAACGACGAACGATGACGCACGGCTGCAACGACGACGACGACGCCGACGGACGACGAACGGCGAACGACGAAAACGACGACGCCCAACGACGACGACGACGACGACGACGACGACGACGACACGGACGACGACGACATCGAACGTCGAACGACGATAATGACGACGAACGATTAACGACAACGACGAAACGTCGGACGACGACAACGACATCTCCGACGGACGACGACAACGACGAACGATGAACGAGAAAAGACGAACGACGACGACAGAGAAGGGCGACAACTACGACGACGACAACGATGACGACAACGACGACGCCCGTCTTGAAGTTTCTTGGAGGTTCTCAACGTGACGTTCCCTGGCAAGCCCTGTAGACAAAGTGGCGCTTCCCGTTCTTGTCCGGTCAGGTTCTACCACGCCTCAACGTGCCAGGGGGCACGGTGGCGGATTTGTCTGAATCCCCTCCCGCATGGTTTCCCGTATGGCCTCCTGTACGATTTTCCGCACGGTCTCCCCCGGCATGATCTCCCGTATGGCCTCCCATATAGCGTTCCGCATGTACACCTTATCAAATCACGCATCCGTATGTTAGTATGTTGTTTAGGGGTTTCTGCCGCGAGGGTGTAAGTTCTCTTTTTCCCATCTGCCATTTGTCGTGTTTTCAGATCCCCTATCATCCCTCATCATCGTCATTCCCCCTGAATCTCCCCTCCAG